GTTCAGTTTGGTTTATAGAGAATTTCCCAAAAATCCTCTAAATGTGCAGGGTCATCTTTGAGCACGCCATTTCACTTTTCTTTCACCAGTTCACCGCAGTTCTTCCAGCAGTCCACACTTTCTCTGCTCTCTTTTTCTCATGGTCTTCTCCTTCTTTCCCATCGCCCGGCTTGCCACAGGTTTGCCTGCTGTGTCTAAAAGTAGCAGCAGCAGCAACCCAGACTGACAGCTCATTGGCTCTTTTGGATGACGTGCAGCCTGGAGCCGGACGCTCCCCAGGGCTGTACCGTATTAACAGGAGAAGAGGGGCAAGTAAAATTTGTCACTGCTGTCGGACAACATGCTGTAATTTATAAATGTTTTAAATCAGGTTGGGTCCGGTTTAGGCAGCAGGTGGGTCCGTATCCATACAGCAGTCCAACTAATCTGTTTTGATATTTAAAGCTTTTATCTAGAGCCTAAACTAAATTTTTCTGCAGGAAACTAAATCTTAATTTTTTCAACAAAACAGGTTTATTAGTTGCTTATAGAGATACTTACAGGCATGACCTGCTGCAGGTCATCCAAGGTGGCTGTTGCCATGCCAACAAAAGCATTAGGATCAGAAGGTGCCGTTGGTGGAGTGAGGAGTTTTCTGCAGAATATTATAGACATGTCAGCACAAAAAAAAAAAAAAAACACACAAAAAAGGTTGAATATATGATATTGGAAACATTTTACCTGTAACAGTAGAGTGGGAAGTGGATGTCCAGAGCTATGCTGTTGTAAACTGCTAAGCCCATCAGCTGATGACACAGTGGGTTAAGTTTGAAACACAGTTTCTATGACAAGATTAATTTAGCTGCTGCATGGAGATGGTTTAAACAAACACCAGGAGGGAGTAGCCATGTGGGGGTTCTCTAGATACTCAGAAAGCCCCGCTGCAACTAATGGGTCAGCTTAATGATGGGTCCAGCACCATTGATGCGTCGGTGCATGCATCGAGCCCATAGAGCAAAACACTGTATCTGTGCTCGTGTAGTTTCAAAAAGTCATGT